AAGTATAGAAGCTTTGGTATTCTAAATACTAGCCAGCCGCATGTGTTATCGCGGTCACGTGACGCTAAATTTACTAGTAAAGCGGTGAAGCGTAATATTAATAAGCTAGCCGAGTTTATTAGAAGAGTTCGAAACTATATATTAGTATATTAATAAGCCTTAATAGGAAATAATAATCTTATTATATAGAAATTTAGTATTTTATAAAACAGAAATAATACTATATTATAATTTATATAAGTTATTAATTAGTATTTAAATAAGTTTAAATATTATCTTTTTAGAGTATTTTACTATTATAATTATTAGAATAATAATATTCTATTTATCTAAATTTTAATAATAGAAACCGGGGCCTTTAAAAAAGCTATAGATATTTATATAAGCTTCTTTATATATATGGCTTGAGAGCTAGTTATTATAGAAATAGTCTTATACTAATTCCTTTAATATAATAGAAAAAGCTCTATATATTAGTAAATATTAAGGAAAATAGTAAATTTATAATTGAAACTACTATTAGTTCTATTATACTTTTATACTTTAGAATATATCTTTACTATTTCTCTAATAAGCTTTCTAATAGTAATAATAGATATTAATTAATAGAAGTTCGGATTTAGTAATAATACTAGTAGTAATAAAGGTAGAAGTAGTAAATAACCTTAATTTAGAAAAGATAAATAGATAGTTTAATTTCTTAACTAAAAGTATCTAGTTCTCTTATATCTAATTCTATTTAAAGTAAAATAAACTAATATAATAGATTCTTAAAGAAAATCTATTCTAATTAAACTATTATTAATAATATTAGCTTTATTCTATATATTCATTATTTTTTTTTGGATAAGGTTAATAAAGAATTATATAATAGTAAGATTTCTATAGTTCTTTTTAATATAAATATTATTATACTAAAGTTAAGCTTAAAGATTTTATATAAATATATAGTTAATTAGATTATATATTATAATATTAAAGTTTTTGAAATTATTCTAGAATAGATTTTATAGATTATTATTACTCTTTTTATATAAGATATATTAATATATCTTAGTAATTAGATATTTCTAAAAATTAGTCTTTATTATAATTACTGGATTAATACTATTCTTTTATTTCTTAATTAGCTTCTTTTCCTTATTAGTATCTATACTAAATCGAGTTTAGGTTCTCTCTAGTATATATATGTGATTTGTAATAAGAGGGGTTTAAAGGTAAGGCAGTTCGTAATAGGTTTATAAAAAGGGTTTAATAGTAAAAGTATTCAGATACCCAGATACTTAGTTTAGATACCAGATTCAAATACCTGATTGAGATACTAGATGCCTGGTTTAGATATTAGATACTTTAGATATCTAGATATCAGATGCCTAATAGAGATACCAGATGTTTTAAATACCTAGAGGTATTAGGGTATTAAAGTAAATATTTCGTTCTTAAATATTTTATTTATAATAAGAAATTTAGAAAGTGAAATATTATAATTCCGGAAGGGTTTAAAGCTTAAAGAACTCGATTTAATAGTAAAATCGAAGTAGTAGTTAAAGAGCTTTAAGAGTATATATAGAATATATGTTTTAGAAAGAGGGTTCTATAAATATAGGTATTATATAAATGAAAAAGATAATTTCTAAGAAGGTAGTTTTAGGACTAAAAGAAGTTGGTTTTAAAGAATAGTAGAAGTTAAATAGATGAATAGTTAAATAGCTAATCTCTTATTAATTAGTAAGAGCTAGTATCTTCTCTATAGGCTACCGAATACTTTTATAAAGTTAATAAGTAGTTCCCTTCTTTAATATAGAATAAATTAGATTTGTTTTAGGCTATTAAATGCTTTTAGAACTAATCTAAAATCTCCTCTAATCTATATATATAAACTAATTAGTATTAGTTTACTAGTAATATATAATACTATTATATAGGTATAAAAATACTAATTATATTAGTTAGTAAAGTTATTATTTAGAAGTAGGAATTATAATATTATAATATTAATATATAATCTCTAAATCTACTAAACCTAAAAGGGTCTAGTTTACTAGTCGAGTTACCTATAAAATATAAGGTTATATAACTATATCTTATATCCTATTACTTATATCTCGTATCCCGTATTCCGTAACTATATATATAACTCTCAAAGAAATAGCTATATTAATAATAACTTTATAATATTCTTTTAATAAGCTTATTTTATAATAATAAAAATTATAATTAAAATAATCGAGATTTTTATAAAAGTATTATATAAATATATTTTAAACTAAAAAGTTTATATTATAAGCTATTTTCTTTTAAAATTATTAATTTATTATAAAGCTTTATAATTTTAAAGAAAAATATAAAAAAAGCTTAAAATTATTATTATTATTTTATTATATATTATTAATATTAAAGGAAATAAATTATATAAGTTATATAATATATAATCTAGATTTGTTTTTAGTTTTATTCTTTATTTTATTTAAGTTTAAAAAAGAAGTTTTTTAATAATTAAATGTTTTATATATTATATATATATAAATCTTATTAATATATTTTCTAATTTTTCTTATTATTCTTTTTTATTTAATAAAATATAATTAAAAGCCTAAGCCAAGAATTATTATTATTAATATATATAAAATTAATTATCTTAAAATTATTGATTCTAATTATTTAATAAAATAACTTTAGCTTTTTATATAATTAAAAATTATAAATAATTCCGAATTCTTTAATATTTTTAATATAAAGAAAGGCTTATAAATTATTAAAATTACCTTATATAATAAAGTTAATCTTTATAATCTTTAAAAATATCTTTTCTTTTTATATATTATTTATAATTAGAATTATAAATATAAATATATTATAAGATAATTCTTACTTAATAAAAGAATTAATTAATAATAAAGGAAATTATATTACTTTTTTAATATATTTTAAAAGCAGAATATTATTAAAGAAAGATATTTAAATAATTATAGAATTACTTAATATAATAATTAGAGTACTAAATATTGGATTTCGCTCGATTTCGGGTTTAAGGGCATTTATAAGCACTCTAGCTTGCTTTCTGAATCCCTTCTGCTATTAAATAAATAATTAAAACACGTGGAATTTGGCTAGAGTATTTCTATTCAAATAATATATCCGTTTTAGAGATTTCTTAGTAGCAAGTACTTTGGCTTGCAGGCGCTTAAAGAATCTTACAGGAGGTATGGCAAACTTTAATTTTGCAATGTCGCAGATTAATTAATAAAGTAGTTGTGAAGTAATTATAAAAATTAGAAATCTATAATTAGTAATTATTCTCTCTAGACGCGATTTCCAAAGCTCGGTAAAAATTGGTGTTTTAAAGCTAGTTTCGCATACCGCTATAAATCTATACTTAAGCAGTAGCTCTTTCGCTCTCCGTCGACTCTCATAACCATAACCTAGACTGCACTATTGCCTACCGCAAGATGCGGAACCGGGGCCAACGCGTATTCCCTGGATACAGTCCGCCAGCCGTTTATCTTAGACATATATGTCTTGAAGTAAGAGATTTAACCTAGCCACACTGGCTAGAATAGTATAGGAGACGAGACGAATTTATTGTTGTCAAATCGACAAATACTGTTAAGATTCGGATGAACTTTCACTTCTGCCAGCTGCAGATGGATTGTCTAGTACTATGACGTTGAAGTGGACTAAGAATTCCTCCATGGCTAAAAACATTATGACAAAGCTCCGAATACTATACGTTGCCTTGTTTGCCTCCCTCTTGACAACCCTGAGGCGTTTCTGATGTAGTGTCCAGCAATGAATCGCTCATTTTAACGACAAGTAAAGGGTCCGTGCCCTGCTTAGAGGCCAGCTTTCTACTTCCCTATTGGTAGTGATACTCAATGACCAATAGATCAGTGAGAAGCAAGGTTCAATCAAGGAATGCCAAAGACAAATATTTCACGTGACCCTCTTAGCCACTCTCGTTTCATTGAAAATAACAGGTGGAAGAAGGCGGGGACTTGTCACTCCTCGTTGCCCTTCATGTTTTGAAGTAAGGGTTTCAATGACCCTGTGCCCCTAGAACATTCCTTGTACAAGGAATAAGTGCTAAATGTGAGAAGCGAGCCTGTTTGAGGAGGACTTTAATGCACCACGGTTTATGAGACATTCAAGAGGGAAATATGGACTTGAATGTTCAACAGTTTGTTGGAAATTCAAGTCCGGTTTCTTGTAACTGTCCCAGGAGTTCTTGACCCTTCCGCTCTCCTTCTCCGCTGAATGTCCCCGCGATGTTTAGAACATTCGGTAGTTATACTTTCCAATGGCCGCACGAGATCCCAAACCTTCAATTTCCGTCCTTATTTCTCAATATCCCTCGACTTGCAGAACATTCAAATCCATACTCCCAAATACACCACAACTTGCAGTACATTCAAACTTCAAAACTCCGAGGTCTCGAAGGCAAATATAATGATCAGCACTCCCTTGAAGAATGCACGAATCCTCCAATTCCGGACTTCAATCTCAACGCGAGTTAGGTCGAAAACCAGAGAGTGCCCTGGCTGTTGACCTAGGGAGGAAAGAGTTTAAGATCGGAAGGTTCAAAATCAACATACAGAATGAGATTGAGTCCATAATTGGAGAAGTATTTTGCAACATTTGACAGCAAAGGCGAACTTGAGAGCAGTGATGCATCCAGAAACACAGCACTTGCCAAATCGGATATAGGATGAGCTGCCCGCAAGCACGCACTATTTATTGGTGCACGGATTTGAACAGAATATGAACCGCTCGCCGGGTCAACACGGCGGGCAGAACTCCGAATCTGTTTGCCATAAACTCATCCCATTGAGAGGTACAGTGTCAACCGTCGAGCCTCGTGCTCTTTAAATACCGCCTCAACCACCATCTTCCCTTCCATATCTCAGAAAGCTACTCCCATAACCATCACCGAAAAAGTCTTGGTTGGGAAATGTGACTTAAGTTTTCTTCAAGCAAATCGGGTTGGTAGATCTGAATAAGCTTCATTCGTCATCATCACTATCATCCCCAAAAATAGCCTTGAACACTGCCTCTCCAGCCCTCTGTCCCTCGAGTGCTTCATTTCTCTCCGCATCAACGACAACATCTTCCTTCTTCTCAACTGGAGCGGGAGCCGCCTCAGCAGGTCTATTCTCCATCGTTCGCTCATTCCAATTTGGATTGAACCCTCCAGATTGCCGCATCATATCATCAATCGCTGTCTTCGAGACCAGATCCGGGGCTGTATTCCTAGGTCCACCTCCCTCGTCGTGTTCAGTAGACCCAGGCTGCACATGAGCTGGCGGTTTGACGTTGAATCGTTTGCAGAGGAGTCGTGTGGGATACCAGTCTTGAGAGCTTCGAGTCATGGGACCGTACATGCCTAACCTCGCAGCCTGTTCTGCTGGATCTTCTGGCTTTGGCGCTGGCTTGCTTATCAGAGACTCTGGTGCCGAGGAGCCAGTGGCATCAGAAGCAAGTTTTGGTGCTGTGGTTGAGGATGTGAAGCGTGTGGCCATCATGCCAGACATTGGTTTGAATATTTGTGCACAGTTAGCAAACTCCCTGAGTTCTTTCAGCCAGTCATCTCGAGAGACACCCGGGGGCTTTTCTGGTAGAATTGGATAGAGACCAGCTTGGTACTCAAGGAACGTTCGGTATCGAGTGCGTTTGGCTTCGTCTTCGCCGTACGGCATAAAGCCGCTGGCACCTCGACTGAGTGCTGCATCGGCTGTATATTTGTCGACTTTGGGGATTTGAGCTAGAAGGTCTTTTTGACGCTCTTCTTCTGTCATGTTGTATCCTTCTGGTATTTCACCGAGTGCTGCAGGGAGATTGCTCTTCCCAGAGGCAGCCGCAAGTTTGTCTCGCGCTGCAGGAGAGAGGAAGTCGAATACCGACTTCCCGGGCAATGCTGCTTCTCCAAGTATCAAGGCCCTAGATTTCGGATCCAGTTTTGATGCTTTGGCAGCTTCTGCTGTCGAAAGATATGCTGCATTTTGATAGCCTGGCTTAGGTTGCTTTGAAGATTTCCAACCCTCTGGGATGCTGGGAGGGACGTATTTCCCAGCAGACTGAATCACCGATGAGAATTCATCATTGGTGCTCAGGAAAAACCCATCTAAGGGTAATCTGCCATCGTGACATTTCCGCAGCCCAGCAGAAGCTTTTGCCATTGCGACCTTCTTGGAGATAAACACAGGTTTCGACTTCAGCAACGGATTTGCAGCTCCGTTGATAGGTTTCTTCTTTTTCTTGTCCCCTCCTATTACCTTGTTGTAGGATATTCGAGGTCCAATTTCGTAGGGATCTTCATCGTCTGACCCTGTATCATTCAATATTCCAATTCCAATGCCACCAGTCTTGGGCTTCTTCTTTTTCGATATCTTCGGTGCCAGGAGTCCCCGGTCGTCATCCTCATCTTCTGATTTGACAGTATTGGATTCTCCAGGACCTGAAGATAATTTCGTCTCCCCATCGAACCCAAGGCCTTTACGGTCATTCTTCCTGATGAAGCTGATCATATGTGTGTTCTCCGGCGCAAAGAGATGGGTTGCATCCGCGTCATCGCCTGACCTCTCCACATCATCCAGATATGCTTTCCGCCGTACCTTTGGCCCAACGCCTTGTCCTTCCTTCCAGCCCATTTTCTTGAGGAGTTTGACACCAATTGTTTCTCCCTCTATCCTGAAGAGATCAATGAGACCTCCTCGTCGGACGGCATCATCTTGTGTCGAACCAAGTCCTGCGAACCCCTCTACAGTCTGTACCCTTCTGGCATCTTCGGCATCGGCGATATCCTCCTCGTCCATAAAATCTTCCGGCCGTTGCTGAGCAGCCTTCGGTTCATCTTTCTTCCTGTTCGTGCGAGAGGATACGAATGTCGAAGGGGTCCATCCTTCCTTTGACCCTACGGTGTTAAAATATCTGCAGAGTCGTCAGTCGATTGAAGTCTTGTCGGAGAGGAGTGAGAACTCTTACCCTGCGCTGAAACCGCCAGTGAAAGCTCCATGTAGGCGCTTTAACCCCCGCTCATCCCTCACCTCCTGCTTCCAGACCGGTACATATGATCCGTCATCACGGACGTCTGGATCTCGAGGAGGGAGAGGTGTTCCAAAGGCTACGTATGGCGATTGCTGAGCTTGAAGGTCGGCCTCGTACTGAGCGCGGGACCGTTTTCCTGACATGGTGGAAACATGCAAGCTATCTTTGTAATTTAGCAAGGACCGCAGATCTCTGGTAACTCAAATAAGCGCGAGGGAGAAGGCTGTGCTTGAAATCAGAGCCTTGTGCAGAGCAATTCAATGGTCTCGCTTGTCATTGGCTCATCAAGCGCACGGCGGCCCATTCTACGACAGCCGTCGCCACTCGGCCAGAACCCGGTTTTTCCTTGCATGAATGTGGTCCAAGGAACTTGACATGGAGTGATATTGGGCATCTATCTGCTTGGCATACTGTACTCCCAAGATTATGGCGATGCGGCTTGACATGTTCTTTCAACGCCAGAGCCCGAAAGGGACAACACACTTGTTCCCGTTCCCCAAACCCAGGCGAAGCCACATTAACATCCCCTCTCCGGACTCGCCCCCTCAAGCGATTCAAAGAAACACGGCCAAGAAATGATTGCTTTGTTCCCTCAGCGACCCGCCGTCCCTCCCAGCAAAGGTTTTATTGCGTGGAAGAAATGGCGCAAAGGCGCACAGCCCAGCCCTCGATCCTTCGAATGTGCAGCGGCAATGTGACGGAGATAAAAATAAACATTGCAACTGCATTGCACACTTGACACATAACAGCCACAGAGGAAGGAGTTAGTCATGGAGAAATGGAGACAGCTAATAGTATTAGCTGCTGAACAGCAAGCTCTAGCCACAATCTTCCAACACGAACTTTTAGCCCCCGGTCCGCTTTGGCTTCTGTGAGCTCCGACCGAAACGTCAGCGGGCGCTGAATAACAAAAACCACTCCGACTCGTAGCCTCGCCATTATCAGCTGTGTCTCACTCCTCCCCTCCTCCCCTCCTCCCCTCCTCACTCCTCTCTCCTCTCTCCTCTCTCCTCCCTTCTCCAGAATCCCGATCAATTTCGCAATGTCGATGGCTAAAGCTTGATTGATGTTTCCCCGCGAAAACAACGAGACGAACCGCTTACTCGCCAGGCCTAATTTGTTGGCGACGCAAGTCCTCGTACCCCCCAGAAATCAACTTCCAGAATTCTCTCAGGAATTCTCCCTGCAACCCTAGAAACCTTCGTGCTACGACCCCATCGCGCAAAACTTCATCAAGATCGCAAGAAGCTATCCCAGCGCCCCTCGGTCTACCAAGTTTCAAAGTTCCCCGTGGTCGCGCTAAGCTCTAAGCAAGCCCAGGGGCAGCCAATCCGCGGCTGATTGATTGACCTCCCTGGCTGGGAACGACTGATCACCGACCTCCAAATGGCAACAACATCACTGCTTCCCAGCTCAGTCGAAAGATCCTCATCGCGCCGACACCAACAATCTGCGCCATCAAGATCCCAGTCAACGCGAACAAAAGATCCAAACGCCTACGGTGTTCCCCCGCGTGCCGATCGCCCAACGTCGTCCCGCCACAGAGCTGTTGGAGAGTCCAACAACAACGATGAGACTGTGAGCGTCGCTGCGCAATCATCTAGACGAAGCTCGAGCAGAGATCGTCCTCATCATTCGCGGACAGAGTCCTCGAGAAGCGGCCATCATCACCGCAGATCAAGCCACAGTCGAGATAGGATGGCCACGAGCGTTGCGAATGGGGGCGGTCCTGCGCCGATTGTTTCTGCACAGGAGTCAAGGCCGCAGGGGAAGTCTGGAAAGTCGCGAACGACTATACCTGCCCCAAGCGGAACCTTTGTCCTGGGCAAAACGGTAAGTGAACCTCCAGTGCTCGAATGACTGGAATCCCTCCCCCTCAACGCTTCAATCAGGCACCCGCTGACTGTTTCTTCATCGCAGATTGGAGCTGGATCAATGGGCAAAGTAAAATTGGCACGGAAAGTAGAAGGTGGTGAACAGGTATGGCCTTCATTGCAACCCGCCAACTCGTAATCAAGGCTAACTAGGGTTCCCAGGTTGCAGTGAAGATTGTCCCGCGAGGCTCAACAGACGACGGACACAATCAAAGTCGAGCCGACCGAGAGCGAGCAGATCATTCAAAAGAGGTTCGTACGGCAAGAGAAGCGGCTATCGTGACGCTTTTAGATCACCCATACATTTGCGCCATGCGGGATGTTGTGCGGACTACCTATCATTGGTATATGCTTTTTGAATACGTCAATGGGGGGCAGATGCTCGACTACATAATCTCACATGGGCGGTTGAAGGAAAAGCAGGCTAGGAAGTTCAGCAGACAGATCGCAAGCGCTTTGGACTATTGCCATCGAAACAGCATAGTCCATCGAGATCTGAAGATCGAGAACATCTTGATCAGCAAAACAGGAGATATCAAGATCATCGATTTTGGTTTGAGCAATCTTTTCGCTCCGCGGGGACATTTGAAGACTTTCTGTGGAAGCTTGTATTTTGCGGCACCGGAGTTATTACAGGCAAAAGCATACACTGGTCCGGAAGTTGATGTCTGGAGTTTTGGAATTGTGCTCTATGTTTTAGTTTGCGGCAAAGTTCCTTTCGATGACCAGAGTATGCCAGCATTGCATGCAAAAATCAAGAAAGGGATTGTGGACTATCCGAACTGGCTTTCACCGGGTAAGTTTACAACGAGTCTTTACCTTTAGTACTAGCTAATTGGGAATAGAATGCAGGAATCTCATCTCGAGGATGCTTGTGACGGACCCGAGGCAGCGCGCCAGTTTGCAGGAGATAATGAACCATCCTTGGATGGTTAAAGGATTCAATGCACCACCAGAAAACTACCTGCCAGCTCGCGAACCCCTCCAACTACCTCTCGACTCAAGCGTTGTCCAAGCAATGACTGGCTTCGATTTCGGATCACCAGAGACGATATCAGCACAATTGACAGAGGTTCTCGAGTCGGTGGAATATCAAAGGGCAGTGCGATTAGCTACACATGAGCGCGAGGTTCAGCCACCTCCAAAAGACGCAGAAAAAAAGAGAGGATTTGGATTTGACTTCTATAAAAGGAGAAGTTCTACAACCAGCAGGGACACTCTTTCAGCTCCAAGCTCGGAAGCTTTGGCATTGGGAAGCGATCCGGTCAACGCATTCCACCCACTCATATCAGTTTATTATCTTGTCAGAGAGAAGCAGGACCGCGATCGGCTAATAGCCAACCCAGGGGCAACTAGCATACCCCGATCACCTGGCGAGGCTCCTCTACAAATGGCTGCCGAAATCCCTCCTCCAAAACCTGCACACACAAACGCTGCAGCATACGAGATGGTGGGTGAAAAACCAACTGGGGGGAGATCAAGACCGCGTGCTCGCACACATGGAGAGGACGAAGTTGTGGAGACATTGAAGAATACCAAGATTGCAAGTGGTCCAACATCGCCTGCCATTATCGAACCTCCTCCAGAGACGCCGCGTAAGGAGAGTATGGGTGCTGGCATATTACGCCGATTGAGCACACGGAGAAGGAAAGAGCCAACCGAGAAGTCAATGGATAGATCCCACCCTCCACTAGTCCATGTGCAATCACCACATGAGCCTCATACTCTTCGCAAAAGCTTCAGCGTACGGCGGACTAGGGAAAGGACTACAGATGGCCCTCCAAGTTCCATACTTCGTTCCGGAAGCAGTCAACCTCACCACAGCGATCTATTAACACCGCCCAGAACGGCCGATAGTCCACGAAGCGCGAAGGGATTGGGAAGATCGACAAGCGTCAACTCAGCAGAGTTTCGCAGAAAGGAGAACCGACGAGGTGCCTCAGAGGCCCCTCCACCACGAGTCACCTACAAAGAACCACCGCCTACGAGTGGTTCTGACCATTCTACTGTAAATGAGAAGGCCCCTCGAGATGACGATCAGCAGAAGACTCACTTGAATCCGAAATCTGCAACCATGAGAGCGAAGTCGCTTGGTCATGCACGAAGAGATAGCATCCAAGCAAGACGTGCACGGAGAGAAGAAGCTCGGGAGGCCAACGTCCCAGAAGAAACAGATGTCGAGGTTGGTGATGCAAGCGGATTATCAACAGAGCGTGTAGACAACGCAGAAAACGCAAAACCCGTGTTCCTGAAAGGCCTCTTTAGCGTATCAACAACATCAACAAAGCCAGTCAGTGTAATCCGGGCAGACATAGTTCGAGTCCTAAAACAACTGGGCGTTGAATACCGCGAGATTCGAGGCGGCTTCTCATGCAGACACTCGCCGTCCATCGACCTGAAGAAAGTCATCGATCCCCCGCCCAGCAGCCACGGAAACCAGACCCCAGGCCACCGACGGCGAATCAGCTTCGGCGGTTTCATGGGTGGCGGGAACAGCAACAGCCTCGACCGAGAGCGGGAAGACTTCCGCGAAGCCGAAAAGTCGCCCCAGACACCAAGAACACCCGGCAGGAATCAGAATCGCGGCGGCGCAGACAACAGCCTCACAAATTCCGATGCCTCGGACGAGAGCGTCAACGGCCACCACAGAGGCTCATCTGCGAGAGCGGTGGGTGAGACGAGCACCCATGTTCAGAGCGAACTTGGCGGCAGCATGATCTTGGAGTTCGAGATCTTCATTGTGAAGGTTCCGTTACTGAGCTTGCATGGAATCCAGTTCAAGAGGTTGGCAGGCAACACCTGGCAGTATAAGAGTATGGCGGATCAGATCTTGAGGGAGTTGAGGCTTTGATCTGGAAACTTGACTCAAACTCTTCACTCAAAGCGGTTCGAGGTGAGATGGGTAGCAAAAGGGAAAGGAAACAAGTGAGGGCAACGATATACAGGAAATAATAATTGGTTGAAAGTGAGAGGGGAAAGAAACATAAAACTCAGGAACGGAGCGAACGGTCTGACGGACGAATTTCTTTTGTTTTCTCTCAGTTACGTACAATACTGTTTAAGGCAAAGCAGATTCTTGCAATCAAGCGTGCATTATTGCATCCATCAGGTTTCTGGCAATATACTACATGAGGAGTTCTTTTGTTTCGGGGCAGGAGGGAGGAAGCGGGCAAGCTGGAGGAAGCGGCATTCTTAGGTTGTAGCGTGGAGAGCCTGATTTGAGGAGAGGAATGAATAAGTTGATGGAGGTTTGGTCTTTGTGCCGTGATGTGATAAGTCTGCAAGTGCAGCAATTTGGTTTTCCCCAAGGGTGCTTTCTGTTATTCAAGAAAAAGCAGCACTTTGAACTACACCTTGTCCAAGTCTGGGACATTATGTATGAACTTCACAGGGCAAGCATCTGACAAGGGTCACCAGTTTACAATATCCCAGACAGCGCAGTGCATATTCAATAAATGTCTGCATTTCCAATAGTGAATTGTCCAAGTTTAAGATGACACAAGGTGCTTAAGTCGAGATCCATTTCGCTACTATATAAATGGACATCTCTCTGTGTTCTAGACGATCGTGCGAAGGCACTTTGAGGTTGGACCAATAGCGTTAGTCAGGGACTGGGTATCACGACAACGTGTGCTTTCCCATGCCAAGCAAAGAAGCAGAGAGAGTCATGCAGCTATGTCGTAAGTGCAAGCGTCTAGCGGCATTGAGCTCTTGAGGGGTGTTTTCTTGTTGCTAAGTATGCCTTTACTATCAAAATCACTGATTCCGTCCTTTCTTGACAAGAATTTTTTTTTGTCTTAACAGCCCAACCCAACTCAGTACTGTACATTTACAGGTACAGAAATCAGACTTTGTTTCCCCTCCTTCTGTGATCCAAATACCGTATACATGCCTCTGCAGCCTTGCCGGTCTTTGTGGAAGTCTTTCCGACTAGTTCCAACAACTCCTGGAAAGATCTGTGCCAATACATAGATATGTACGAGCTGGAAGATTGGGCAGTGATTCGAGTCGGTTGTTCGGGGAGAAGGAGTTTAAGCATGCTCTCGGTGTTCCCGAAGGAACGAACTGCATTTACCCAGCGAGTTTCTATTGCTTCTCAGAACTAGCCAGATTCACTCGGCCGAGTTAGCCTGATTCTCAGTATAACTGCCCGTGTTGATATTCTGGCTTCTTCAGAATCCTGTATAAAGGAAATTGTCTCAGCCGCGAGCGAGAATGCCGTATGGCTGTCGCCAAACAATTCCCCGGCAAGACTGGTCCTGACTGTTTCATGCAATGGGATCGTAGCTGTGTCGACAAGCCATGTCGCTGACTTTACAGAATAACCTTTGGTATAAGCCGAAGGGGACCTGCTATGCCTCCTTCTAGAATTTGGGAGGTCCTTTTACTTGTTTTCGACAATCCTTTGCTGTCAAGAATACTCTTTTCGTCGTGTCTATGGCGAGACAGGTTTTCATGTTGGACTCTACGTTAATCTGGGCTAGGGGATTAAGAACTCCCTTATCAAAAGAGCTAGGGCTTGTTTGGTGGTATACCCCTACCTCCTAGATTGAAGTGGTTGAAGCTAGTTTGGGGATGTAGACGAGTAATGATAACGAGTGCAGTTCCGTATTTAACAACGACAGCAATAACCCTGCCGTCCTTCCATGCTCTTCTCTCTACTACCCAGTGCTAATATACTCGTGGCATAACTCACAACATATGGCCAAGTAAGCCAAGTTCCCAATACCACATCGGCTCTCCAGTCTATTGTCCCCCTATATAAAAGTATGTTCTTGTAATTCAATAATAGCCTCGCCCGCCTCGAGCCACGAGAACTATCTCGTAGGGATCGCTGCGATTCATATTAGTAAAACCAAAAATGCACGAGAGAAGACGATGTAAAGTGAAAATAAAAGGCGACCGAGATCACAAAAAGAGTGTAAGGAGATCTTGGTATTTTGTTGTCAAGGGCACTTTCATGGTCAATCCGGCCGTCTGATCTTACAAGTCAAGAGAAGTCTGCTTGCCACATGATTATTCAAAGGCCTTGGATGTCAGGAAGCTAAGAAGTCTAGTTCTTCACAACCATGACCTTGGCCGTTCTGTTGGAGTTGTTAAAAACCATAATGGTCATAGACCGAGAATGTTGATTCTCTGTCAGATGCTTAGATTGGCTTGGCTTAGCTCACGGCTTAACAACGGGGATGCAATGACACTGCGATCGCTCCTGCCATAGTTCTATTACAAGAGGCAGGGCACATTCCTCACAAACCTGCACAAGTCTGTGCATAGTGATTCAGGATTGCTTCAAGAGCACAGCCCCAGGGGCAGCTGCGTTGAGAATATTAGCAGAGAAGGCATTGTCCTAAATTCACAGGAACATTGCATAACCACATGTGTATCAAAGTGGATATAAGCATTTTAGAAGCACAATAATGCAATCAGGTGTATACAGTAATTGTCTCAGTGCGCTGCCGGCATGGCATTAGAGTTTCACATGTATAGATGAAGAGAATCAGTATGTGCATTTGGGGAACAACGGCAATGCAGCCAAGTGCAGGAGCAGCTAAGCCTCGTGTCAACTATTCTTTTATTGTCAAGAATACTGTTTTTGTCCTGTGTTCAAATCGGGAGAACTACCGAAGGTTAAATGGCCAATCCCATAGGCCCATCCTCCCGACTCTGAGGTGTCCTTGATTTGTTGTCAACAATAATTCCACCGGCAGAAATGCCGTCTCCTTCTGCATCCCGTCCCAAGAGATGGGGTCTCATGGCTCGTCACGTGACCAGCCTCAATTTGTCCCCCATTTTTGTCATCGTCGGAGTCCGAACCGATAAGGGCCTCTCCTCCATGCCCTTGGCGGCTTGGCCTATCAGGATACCACGGCTTCTCAAAACCCTCCCGAATCCTACCAACTCCACAGAGTTTGGGCCAGACTAAAAGCTGAATCCTAGCTGCATCTGAAGCAAGATGAATAATGCAAACCAAATATCGGGACAGGCCTTCCGCCACGACCCTATCCCAATTGGCGGGACCCTCACACGCAACCCGTATGGGGCATCACGACATCGACATCCACTTCCGACGCGAAGTTCGGAATGCCTATCTTGGTGGCAAACGGCCCCGAAGACCTTGTTACCCCTCGCTCAACTCTAGTTTTTTTCATATCTAGATACTTTCCTAGCTCTTCCCACTTGTTTCCCATGTTTCTGATTTAAGCGTTGGGGTCCCCGAGCGTGGCCTGATTTTCTCTTTCCGTCTTGTATCAATAGAGTCCTTATCTTTTCGTTGCTTACACAATCCAATGGCTTTCTCAAAATTCCTGCGATTCTTTGTTTGTGGTGACAAGAAGGATGTTGGGGACCTGCCTCCCCCTACCCCAATTGAATTTGCAATCGAGGGGAAGAACCCTGAGAAATCTAATGATTCATTCGACTCGGAGCCGGAGTTCGCGAAGGATGACGAGGAGAAGACGCCGTTGAAAGTAGACGTGAAGCCTATAAGGAAGAACCGAGTATTGGTTGTTGCTTCAAAAGGGACATATGGTTTTTCAGAGGAGCCGTTTCCGGAATTCGCACACGACAAGGAAGTTGTGATCTCCAACCACGCCACGGGGTTAAACCCAATAGATTATAAATCGGTGGACTACAACTTCTGTTTACCAGAGTTCCCATGGGTGACGGGAAGGGAGATGGCTGGTGTGGTTGAGGCGGTTGGATCAGCGGTTACAGATGTGAAAGTTGGAGATCATGTATGGACCAGTGCGTATACTCTCACATTGAGACTCATAATCTAGGAGAAACTGACCATCTCAGGCACATATTACAGAGACCGCCGTGCAGGTTGCTTCCAACAATACGTCACAGTACCCGCCCACACCGTCCTCCCTCTCCCCTCAAATCTCTCCTTCGACCATGCAGCATGTCTCGGTGTTGCAGGTTTGACTGCAGCAATGACATTATGGCGGTGGTTGGAAGTACCCATTACACCGCAACCCTCCTCCTCCGAAGCCGAATATCTCCTCCTCTGGGGCGGATCAACAGTCACAGGCCAATTCGCAATCCAGATCGCCACTCGCTGCGGACTGAAGGTAATCGCTGTCACATCCTCGAAAACGCAATTCCTCGCCCAATCCCTCGGAGCTCACCACGTTGTTGCTCGAGACGGCAAGACCGAGGCTGAAATCGTCGCTGAGATTCGAAGCATAGCTGGAGACAACATCATAAAGGCGATCGATTTGGTTGGCACGAAGACGGCAAACTTCTGCATGGAGGCCATGTCAACATCAAAGCAGGGCATCTTCGCTCCCCTGGCTATGATCTCAAGCAAAGCCATGATCCCAACCAATATCCGAGCCGAGGCCGTGGAAATGAAGCAATTCGTCCTGAACGAGGAATCAAGAATGTACGCTTTGGAACTAAACCGCTTGGTTGAGATGGGAGCTATCAAGCTTCCGGATATCCATGTTCTTGAGGGTGGGCTGGCTGTTGTTACGGATGGGCTGGAGAGGCTAAAAGGGGGAGATATGGCAGGGAAGAAAATGGTGGTTAAGATGGTTTGAGGTTGAGGTTTGAGTGCTGAGGATGGCATGGTCATTTTTTGGAGTCAAGGAGCATTTGCATTGGGTAGGCTGGGCATTGGGTTGGTAGACAAGATATGACGACCACGGCAGTGCGGAGGTCAGGTGCAAAATTGTATATGAAGTAATAGATCAACATATTTTACATTTAGGTTTCTGTTCTCATTCTTTTTCCTGCAAGTTCTTCATTCTGCTGGCCGGCAGCTTCTTTCCAAGACATCGTCATCGACAATTTGCAAGTGCAGCCCTTTCGGGAGCTTGACTAGCTGCCGTCGGAAGGGCGAAGCCGAAGGTTGCTTCACCATTGACACGTGATCGAACCCCCTTTTCTATTCATTAAATTTCAAATTTGATACAGCGTTGTGGTAGGATGGCGATGACGTTGTACGAAGAGAACACTGAACATTGGAGAAGAGCATGAGAGGAATCGCATCATGAATTTGGAAAGAGTGCTCGGAAATGAACACGAAACTCTCAACCATTCAGAAGCAAAATTAGCTTTCATAGAAATGTCTTATGATCCTATACCATTTCCCCATCGAAATCACCACACCCAGCCCGCCGGCCCAAATGCTCTTCCCTCTCCTTCGGATTGTACGAGGCTGTCTGGGTTGGGTGCTTTAGTGTTTTGACCACTTACCGCCTAAAATCCTGCCCTAGGTTGGCACGTGAACCCTTCTAAGCAGTGTTACCTATCAAGAGGGCGGTGATCGAACTTGCATCAGCATCGTGTGATCTTTGCACGACCCTTTCCCTATGGCGTGCAACTGAAGCCTTCGCGATACCGTGCGAATGGAGTCCGCAGACATTAGAAGATGGAGGTGTTGCGCCGGATCTGGCACTTTGGCGGTGGCCTTTCTGGCTGGTTTAAGCAGCAGCAGTAGGTAATCTTCTTTCTATTCTATACCGCCGGAATCAGTGTTGAAGAGTTAGTTGAGCACATGCTGACGGAGGTATAGCAGCGGTCAACTGCACGTCGCCGAACGGGCAAGACGGCTCCTTTTTTATCGCATCCCAAGAAGCCGCCGACGCATTGAACAGCTGCAAGAATATCATTGGAAATGTCGTCATCCAGAGCAACGCTGTAGCGCAGATTACTCTTAATGGCATCGAAATAATCGAAGGAAATCTCAGCACCTTATCCTGCGATGGATTGCAGAAAATCTCGGGCCCAGTCTTGGCACAAATCACGAACAACTTCACGCTTTCAAGCCTCCCACATCTCACGAGTCTCGAATTTCCTCTCTTAGATAACGTCAATGGAGGAATATACTGGGATTCATTGCCAGGTCTTACAGATGTCTCGTTTGGCAACCTTACACTTAGTCCAGGTGACTTACCAGGTACTAATGTCGATGGAGATATCTCGATTTCAAACACAGCTCTCTCTAGCCTAGCGTTCCTTAACTTCACGCACTATTCAAACCCAGCTCTAATTTGGATCAAAGGCAATCAACAACTCAATAACATCAATCTTACCGGCCTGTCCTGGGGTAGCAACTCATTGGCGATAGTAAACAATGGACCTTCCGCCCAAATACTTCTTCCGAATTTGAGATCTGCTGGAGATATTACGATTGGTAATGCTGGTCGCGTCGATATTCCATCACTTTCCGAAATAAGCACAAATGTTATAATATCCAATAATTCTATCGATGTCTTCACAGCCCCAAACCTTGCAGCTATTGGCGGGAACTTCATTGTCAGCAATAACTACTTGTTGGAAAAACTCGATCTCCCACTCCTGACTACTATTGGAGATGGCACGGGAAATGGGAATTTCGTAGTTGTGAATAACTCCGCCTTGGACACGATTACACATTTGAACCAGCTGTGGCACACCCAAGGAAACGTAACTCTTTCAGGGAATTTTTCAAAGTAAGACCTCCACGGCGCTCAATTTCTCAAAACTAATGCAAGGCTTCAGCGTCACATTACCAAGTCTCCGTACGATCCTCGGCAACTTTCATCTTAACAGCTCGAATCCGGCCTTAGACTGTACCGCCTTTGACAAACTGGCTGACCAAACCAGTTGGACATCTTTCTCCTATTCATGCGGTGCATATCTCCCAGGAGAAACAAAAGATATGGCAAAACATTATCAAGTCCCTGATGGCGGTCTTGAACTCTCAAAGCCTGCCAAAACCATCATTATCATTGTATCTGTCGTTGCGGGGTTATTGTTGTGTGGTTTGTTGATGCGGTGGTTTGGACGGAAGAGATCAAGACAAGTGGCTGTGGTGGAAGAAGCCGTGGATCTGAGAAGTGTGGGAAGTGGCGGAGGTGGGGGAGTAACGAGGTATGAGGAAGGAGATGGACTGCCGGAATATCGCAGGGTAGGCAAGCCAGGGGAAGTCCCGCCGGAATATGTGGGGAACGAGAACGGGCGTGCGCTTCATGTGGCACCCGGCAATGTCAACATGAGAACGTCGAGCGCTGGTTGGGTAAGGGCCAACAGGTGGAGGAGATTCTGGTAGAAGAATGAATCGGCTATTTGTAGTACACAGAGACCCAAATATACCAATCAAACCCCAAAAACAAGCCATGTGGTCTCGATCTCCAATTTCTCAAACCAGCAAGCGACTTTATACAAGTACATGCGCCCCCAAAATGGTCCCGAATTCGTGGGCTATATCTCATTTTCCTTATTCTATGACTAAAGATTCCATCAGCATTGCCATCTCACTATCCTAGGACACATAACGTACCCCTCTAATGCGCATTCGGATTAAAAGCATTCTGCTCCGCCTTCGCAGACCCCATGTACGATAAGGCCTCATCTTTCTGATTCTGGCCATTCTTTTGCTTCCTCCTATGTCTCCTTCTCTTCATACAGATAAATGTTACGAAAGCGAGGGTGAGGAAGATGAAGGCGGTGCCGATGACGATGCCGATGACGGCCGGGATAGGTATGTGGTAGCAGACGTAATTGTCGGTAGCTAGGCAGTCGCGTTTAAGGAGAGGGAGGAGAGAGAAGGACGGCATGGTAGTTGTTGATAACGGATACCTTACGCGGGAATTTGAATTTGAGGGGAATGTAAGGGATTGAATATGTGGGTTGAGATGTGTGGGGTGTTTGGTAGCTTAAAGGAGTGAAGTGAGGTAGATATATAGGAATTGCACGCCAAAACTCACGGTGCGAAAGCGAACTGCAAGTCTCACAAGCAAATTAGATGTTGAGGATAAAGTGCCAGACGTTTATTTGCGCCGTGAATAATGGTTCTGTAAGGGGACACTCAGGAATAGCCGACCGTTGCCATCTCGCTGGAAAGCTGAATTCGCGCACCTGAAGCCACGGCCGCTTCTCAGTGGCCCAGATTTTCGCGCTGTGTCACCACCATACAATGCAGGGACGCGAAACGCAACCCCAACAGCGCCTAAGAATAGAATTCTTTGGTGACACTAGCACGAAAGAGCCTCAATCGCATAAGCACGTGCAAGGCTGCGACTCAATGGAAATTTCTGTATATACTAGAGAAAGTGTCTGACGCCTTTACTTTGCACCACTACGTATATACTGAACGCCAAACTGGCCACAAACCCCGTGGATCATTTGCTCATCCACACGGTAGTATGATAATCCCCCCTCGAGGCCTTTGGGTTGATTTTCACACAAAACCTTCATATGCACAAAACGAAAAGGGGTACGGAGGGGTATGCTTATAACGATATGCTTGTAACCAGGCTCTATTGTAAGACAAAGGGAGGAAGTGTTGAAGCCTAACTTTTGTTACACTACTATTGCGCTTGGTCTACGCCTGACACGGCTCACTAACGCCTCAATAGCCCGTTCGACAGGCCGAAACCATTTGGCCAATAATTCATCAGATAAGAGGCTCATGAAGAAGCCAAAGGGGATACATAGCACGCCTAGCACAACGGAAATGGCCCATTGGGCCCTGGTGAGACGCGTTACCGAAAAGGTTTCCCCACCAATAAAGATGATTAGGACCTGAACGCCGATCATGATCGTGGTGATAGTGATGAAGAGCCAGTTGCGGTGCAAGCCCTCCAGGATATTGAACTTGTTGTCGATCCGACGGTTGCTGTTAAAAATTAGAATAGAGGTCAGGTGGGAAGAAGCCATTCGCCATCGTATATTGCTTGGCAGAGGGATAGAACAGACATACTTATACATATTGAAAATATTCATCCACACGTACGCATTGAACACTATCGTTTGTAGCTGTGCCAGTTCTCGATCCGTATGATAATTCAGAATTGTGGCGCCTCCGAAATGGAGTATCAGCGTAACCGCCAACTGATAAGCGCTCTGTCCAAAAATCATCTTCCACATCGGGATGGTGATGAGCGCCGCTGCCCTGGGATCGGGCTTCTTATCTAGGATCGTGGGCGCAGGAGGATCAGTTGCGAGTGCAAGAGCGGCCATTGTGTCTTGGAAGAGGTTGATCCACATTAATTGGACGGCAGTGAGGACTGATGTCTCGGTGGAGCTGGCTATTGCGGAGACCATGGTGAGCACCACAGAGGTGATGCTAACTGTGATCTGAAACTGCACACGGGGATTAGCTCAGTTGGGTTGGTTTGAGATTAGCGGATCAGACGGCATATATTGGATAGGAGTTATACCTGTAAGAACTTCTTCACCGCGTCGTTAACTGCTCGACCCCACATTATAGCTTTGACAATCGAAGCAAAGTTATCGTCCAATAAGACAATAGAAGAGGACTCTCGTGCAATCTCGGTGCCGGAGATACCCATTGAAAGGCCAATATCAGCCGCTGCGAGAGCAGGAGCATCATTGGTCCCATCCCCGGTCACTGCGACTATTTCTCCCATCTCTTTCAGCCGCATCACTAAGATCCGTTTATCGTCTGGACTAGACCTTGCTAGGACCTTGAGATTCGGGATGATTCGATCCCTCTCCTCTGTACTCAGAGACCTGAACTCGGCCCCTTCCATGGCGATGTCACTACAACTAGCCACAGGCGTAGGTGTAGGCGAGAGAATACCACATTCCTTCGCAATCGCTTTGGCAGTTAAAATATTATCTCCTGTGACCATGCGCACAATCGCACCGGCCTTGAGACAGGCCTGCACCGCCTCTCGAGCACCGTCACGGAGTGGGTCACGGATGCCAACGAGGCCAAAGAAGACTAGATCCTTGAGGATGTCCTCGAAGACGACCTCCCCATCATCCACGATCCGGGCCCTAGGCGGCGGCCATTGCTGAAAGTCGCGATACACTAGGCTAATGGTTCGAAGTGAATGTGACGCGTAACCAGTGATGATCCGGTTCAGAGATGCAGCGTCGTCCGTAGTCAGCTCTGTATCCCAGACCCCCTTCTCAGTTGAAGATTGCATGCTTCTCGTGCACTTTCGCAGCAATACCTCGGACGCACCCTTGACATATAGTCTATGCAAGCCGTCGAGCTCGACGACGGTGCCCATGCATTGGCGCTTCGCATCAAAGGGGATCAATTGGACAATCTTTATATTCGAACGCTCGATGCTCAAGGGTCCAATTCCTAGATGGTCCCGAGCAAAAATGAGAAGGGCTGTCTCTGTCTGCGACCCAATGAAGGTTTTCATGCCACCCTCACCCGGGCCTTCAAAGGCTGTAGAGTTGGCGACGATAGACTGTTTGAGCATTTCCTTGACGTCGTCGATCAAATCTCCTCCGATGAATCCACCTACGGGATCCGAAATAGCAGCAGAAGCTGCCCTGATTTCCTGTGGAGATGCGGCTTCAAGATCGATGGTGGTCTGGGACACCCCGAGGTTGTCATTGAAGAGCTGACTCGAGCCGACGATCCCGGCGACAACCTTCATCTTATTCTGCGTCAGCGTCCCGGTCTTATCCGAGCAGATATTTGTAACGTTGCCCATGATCTCACAAGCCCTTAGCTGTCGGACAAGGTTATTGTCCTTCAGCATCCGGTTGGACGCGAACGCCAGCGCAAGCGTAACTGCAAGAGGGAGTCCTTCTGGGACAGCTATAACGAGAACGGTGAGCGATATGATTAGGATGTTGAGAAAGTTTTGGCCCTTTTGTGGACGGGAATGTGAGTTGTGTGGAAGCTGTGCTAAGAATTTGATGAATAGCACGACGAACAAGAGCAGGGCTGCTGCGAAGCCAAACCAAGCGATGGCTTTGGCGAGTTTCTTAAGCTTGACTTGCAAGGGAGTAAAGCTCGGTTCCTCTTTGAGAGATAGCAGGATCTTGCCATAGCAGGAGTTCACACCAGTTGCCGTGACGAGGAAGGTCCCTAGGCCTTCGGCGACCTTGGCTCCCGCAAAGATAAAGGGATCCAGCTCTGTTTTGGGGGCATTTGCCTCCCTTTGTTCCGGTTGTTTTTCCTGTTCCTGGATAGCTATGGCTTGGAACACTTCGTCTGCACCATGCTTGTGCATGAGGTGTGACTCGCCAGTCGACGACGACTCGTCACATTTGATATTGTAGCCATTGATGAATATCCCGTCGGCAGGGATCACATCTCCCGACTCCAGGTATACAACGTCGCCCACAAGCACGTCGGAGATAGGGAGTACTTGAGACGTCGCTGACCTGATGACCTTCACCGTTCGATCTTGCTGCTTCTTGTTCAGCTGGGCAAACTGACGCTCTTTCTCCCAGTCGTTAACAGAACCAACCAGCACGATAATAAAAATGGCCGTGAGGATTGCAACTCCCTCCACCCACTCTATCGGTGGGTTACTCGGCGTGCGTGGTGTCCCGAAGGCCTGGTAGAATCCGACGGCTAGCGAGACTGCGGCTGCTGCAGTTAAGAAGAAAAGAACAAAGTCGTTATAAGCCATCCACATCAACTGAAATATGCTCAGCAGCTTTTTGGTAGGGAGTGTATTGTCCTGAAACACCCGTTTTCTGTCTGCAAACGCCCCGCCAGATAGCCTGCCTGATGTTGTCCATGTTAATGCCAGTCTGGCGATGGCAACCGGTGCCAGCGCTTCTTCTTCGGTCGAAGCCCTCGTCTCTGTCTCCGTTGGTACCGGATTATGATTCGCGCCCTCGAACACAAAGTCGTCGAGAACTGTCTCTTCCGAGCTCAAGCCGCGACGTCGATCTGTTCGCAATCCCTTTTCCAGGCGAGGCAGGCCACCAAACTCGTAGAACACTGGCAAGCTTTTGTCGGAGGTTACGAGTCTGCCCAGTTGCCCAGGTGAGAAGGCAAACTTGTGCTTGTTTTCCTTGGCCTTGAAGCCAGCCGCACCCAGACTACGACGAGGCGACCTCAACACCTCGCCATCCTTGATAAATTCCGGGTTGCTGATTGATATTCTTGTTTGTGTCGGAGAAGTTGGCGTCGTGTCTTCGCTCCGTAAAGGTGTGTTCGGGAAGTCGATTTGATTCTGGTTGTGATGTTCGGACAGCTGGACCTGCATTGTGGCCGGGGAAGAATTTGGACATGCACAACAAGCTTCATTTCGAGCCCTGTGGGGCAATTCGGTGGCAGAACGCTGAATAATTCATTGCAGGTTCCAATGCTCTTGAGGTGGGTCGATCCCAGAACATATATGGCCGTGGTTGCTCAGGCCATGGGGCCCATTTCGATCATTATCAGTCAAGGTTGTGTCGTCCATTGTGGCTATGCTACGGTCTTGCGCCTATCTTGCAAGCGTGATAGGCACAGCCAGCCGGCGCGAACACGGGGCTTGTCGACCTGACGATCCTCACCGTGCCCATCAAGTCACAATGCTCCGTTATAAATATCCTTTACGCTGAAGGTTGTCGTTTCCTTGAACCACAGCAATGGAGGCTATTGCTCGGAGGCTGAGCTGAAGAACCTCCTTGGAGCCGATGCTCGCGTACAGTAACCAAAGTTCAAACCACACAGAGTTGATGGCGGTTCCACCCGGTTCTATGTTCTATGATCTGCGACCCTGCCTCGGCCTGCTAGGTCTTTGAGGACTTGGCACCAGTCCCCACGCTCTTAGCTCTCGAGCTTAATTTGATGTCCTGCTCTGTTTTTTGAATGTTGGCTCGGAGATGCGCATTCTGCCATGGCTCTGCACAGCCCCCTTCGCCTAAAAATCCGACAGCGCGGCTCGGAAGCATGATGTTCAACACGGTTCTCTCTTCTTACAACATCGTCGGTCCAGAGCATTGCACCCTCTGCATTGACTGAATCTATCCGAATCGTCTTGGCGCGTTCAGTATAACCACGCCCTTGAACATCGGTAGGCGTTGGAGTCATCCTCGACCTCACCAAACTGTACGACGTGGCAGCAGTTGCGCGACCCACCTCGGGCCTCGAACCTCAACTTCCGGAGGGATGGGAGTTGCAGGGGATGTGATATTATAGAGCTCGACGAGACAACATCTCTTTTGCGCCGGCTCTAAGGCAGCCGGCTCCGACAATTGCCATCGACTCTTCAGCTGTCAGTCCGCAAAGCGTCGCAACACTTTGTGAAGAACCGTCGTTGTCTTTGGACGTCTGCCCCGATCATCCCTCGTTGTCCATCGAAAACAGGCCATTACTTTCCTTTGAGTCAAGACCTACCTCATCTTACAGCATCTCATTCCCGACTTCGAGTGGAGACGACCACTCATCAGATGTTCACAACCTCCTTACCGTTCCAAACACTTGCTCAAGTGGTGGCTCACTCGACCACCACTCGCTTTCATCCTATGGAAGAGAGACCCTCCTCCCTATGCCCTCTGTATCAAGTTATGACGGCACTCACGGAGAGTCAAGCAAGGCTATGTCCTTTCACAAGCTATGCGAGATGTGTCCGTTTGCCGCATTCAGGAAATTTTACTTTTGCTAAGCTTTTGCTTGTTTGTCAACTGGACCCCTCGATGAAATGACTCTCCTTGGCTCCCGTGACATTCTCTTTCCAGACCTCTTTTTGCCCGTTCCACTCTCCTGCGTGACGCGTTCCCTTATGATTGAGAACTCAAATTCCTAGATGTCTAACATACACCAAAACAACGCTCCGAGGCCATCCATCCTCCTTGCGCAAGAGGGTGTAATTTCTGGTTTGCCTTCGCTATGATACTAGGGTATCAACAACGTCTGGATGAACATAGAATGCTATCGCAATGATAAAGTACCTAGATTACAATATACGTTAAATCTGCATTGTAGCGAGGAGACAGGTACTTACATGCCAAGCAACAGAAAGCCCTCAAAGTAGTTGCTCCGCCCTCCTCGAACTAGACAGTTCACCACTATAACCGACATAGAAAGTACCGTCGTCTGGAATGTATCGAAACGTAACGACATTGGCTTTCCAATAATCCAGCCCAAGATGATCAAAAATGGAGTAACGAACAGGGCAATTTGCAAAGTGCTCCCTACAATCAATACAAGAGCGAAATCGATATTCTTCTTCCCCGCCTGGTTGACTACTGCGACGAACTCGCCCGCATTGCCTACAATTGGAACGAGGATAAGGCCGATGAATGCCCTGCTCACCCCCAGTTCCTCAACGGATCCGTCGACACTGTCTACAAGATAATCTGAGCAGACTGAAACACCGATAGTAGAGAGGACAAGAACAAAGCCAGCAGCCCAAGGATCAAGTTCAGGGCTTCCTTCCGGCTCTGCCTGGTTGGACTCGGCAAAAATATCAGCGTGAGTCTTGAGTTGGAAAAAGAGATATAAACAGTAGAAGACGAGGAGAATGATAGCCGCTATGTGGGACAAGGTCAAGATGTAGGAGGCCGGTTCCAAGTGGGGTTCCAAATTGTTGGACGGCAGGTCTGCAAAGTAGCTGGCTGACGGAATGACGAGAGATGCTGATGCAACGATCATCAATGAAGACATGATAGAGGTCAAGTCCACGTTGAATTTCACTTCCTTCTCTTTATAGCCAGCGACGAAAAGGCAGCTACCCAGGATCTGATAACCGTTAGAAGGAGACGGACGAGTCAGACGATGGAGATCTTACCAGCAGAGTTCCTGATAGGATACTACCCACCATGCTTGACTGCACAATTCGGAATTCCCCTTGTCTCAAGGCAGTGATACCGACCTAAGCACCCATAGTCAGCACATAAGGTTCAGTAGTGTGGTACAAGCGCGGCTTACAATCATTTCTACTGCGTTACCAAAGGCTGCCATGAGCAATCCTCCAATTACTTGTCCTGTACTTGCTGACAGCTGCTCCGTTGACCAGGACAGTAGCTCGGCGAGCGGGAACATGGCAAAAAAGCTGAGGGCAAAAACAGCCACGGGGTTCCATTCTCGGGCTGCAGCGATGATGGAGAGGGGAATGAAAACCAGGAGAATATTTGCCTTCGAACAATAAAGCGTCGCCTTTATGGTATCATAAACATAGTGTGGGACTGTGAGCCCGACTTGCGGGTAGGCTGGGTAGCTGGCCGCTTCCCCAGTCAACGCAGTGCTTTCGCTCGCTGGCGGCGCTGGGGATCCGGCAGGAGACACGTCCCGGGCTTGCGATGCCATAGTGCCTGGAGTGCGTTCACGGGATCTAAAAAGAGGTAAAATCAATGACATTGAAGCGTTGTCGGTCAGCAATTGACAGGCATCGCATGTTCGATTTGAGATGTTGGTGCTGGCACGATGCAGGTCGTGGAAATGTGAGCGGCGGCTGCCCTCGGATAAACACTATTTCCGAACTCCCATCCGAAAACCTCGCACCGTCCAGCCTGACCTGAGCCTCAAATAAAGGTCTGGGTAGAAGGGGTTGTAAGGGTGTGTGGATTAAGAATAGAGAGAGAAACTAGCTAAGTAGAGTCTGAGGCCTGACAAGGCAACCGCGCATCGCTAAGACTACTGCCGATTTCGCTCCTTCCACGGCCTCAAAGGCATCACACACAATTCCCAGATCCGCCATCCCCGCACCAATTCAACAGTACGCCAAGAGTCTAGTTCGCCATCGACGAACCTTCTTCTCACGGCAGCCTTTGTATATCTCTGGGACGATCGTCACGAGGGCAAATGACTACTCCAATGTCGGATCTACCAGCCGACGAGAACACCGGCTTGGTCGCCCTTCCGGAACCCTTCTGGCTCCATCTCTCCCGCACAATAAGGAGGACACTTTTCAGCAGCTACACGAATGTGCTCTTGGTCTTCGTGCCAATTGGCATAGCTGCTGGGACTTTCGGCTGGCCTGCCGAAGCAGTCTTCGCTCTCAATTTTTTGGCTATAATTCCGCTGGCACCCTTGATAACATTTTCCATCGACGAACTATCGCCAAGTGTAGGGCACGCATTTGGAGAACTCATAAAGCCAACTTCGAGCAATGCTGTTGAGATGATCGTAAGATACCTCTATCCAAATAGTGTGGCTTGATTTGCCTTGTTCTGATAAGCTTGCTTCCTCGATCGAAGGTTAGCATTGTTGCTGTGAGCCGCGGACAGCCCCTGGTTGCTCGGTCGAGTTTGCTAGGGAGCATTCTAGCTTACGCTCTTTTGGTAAGACTCCCTCGCTCTACTTCTATATATCTTTCTGACTGGAATCCTCCTAGGTTCTGGGCAGCAGCTTTTTCATAGCCGGTTACGACAAAAAGAAGCTCACGTTCGAAAAAAATATGACGAACACCCTGTCATCTTTGATGATGGCTGTATCTTTCTCTCTGATTGTTCCAACAATCATGTCTATTACCTCCGATGGTCCCGAGTCCCAACCCGACAGCGACGCTCGAATCCTCTCTCATGCCATCTCTATCATGCTGCTCGTCATCTTCGTCATATACCTCAATTTTCGAGCATGGTTCCTAGACCTAAACGCTCAAAACGACCACGATTCCACACACGAAAACCACCAAAGCGTTCCTAGAGCGGATTCGACATTTGCCCTTGGCCTCTACACTACCAGCTGCATTCTGCTCTGTACCATACTGTGTGCTATTCTATGCGCCTTCCACCTCGTCGGGAGTATTGACGGCTTGGCCCAAGCCCTAGATATGAACGAAACATTCATCAGCTTAGTCCTCATACCTCCCATCAGCTATTCTGCCAAGTGTGTCACTGTAACAGCCATGGCTAGAAATTGCCAGATGGACCTTGTTATGAGATCCATTATCCACAGTATTCTGCAAATCACAATGCTCATCATTCCTCTCGTAGTTCTCCTTGGCTGGCTTTTTAAGAAACCCCTTACCCTTGATTTTAACCTTTTTGAGGCAACGGTTTTCCTTCTAACTTTGATTGTAATGAGTTCTACAATGCAGGATGGGAAGTCTAATTATTTTAGCGGGATTATGTTGATAGGAATGTAAGCACTCCGTTTTAACACCCTCGAAAATAGAAAAACATGAATTGACAGGTCTTTAGGTATATCCTGATCGCTGTTGCATTTTACGTGCGTCCTGACGTCTGGGAAAGTTTCATTCTACCGGGTCTGGACGGAAGGAAGGTTGTCTAATTATTTGCGGTTGGCAATGCTATTAGTGCCTGAGTTTGGTGGGTGCGAATTTTTCAAGGCAGCCCCCTATGTTCTACTTGAATCACGACGAATTACCTCCATCACATCCGCATCATGCTACCTGTATTGTGAGGAAATCGATATCAGTTCGTAGAGATGATCACGAGAAGAATGATAGCGAAGAACCAATGAATTAACGAATTAACCACTGTACACAAGCAAGAGATGTCATTGCAAAGTCTGTTTTATTACTTGTATAGTGAAAACAATCACCTACACCGTATACTGACACGCTGCCAAATCCATTCTTCAGTGCATCTAGAAAGGCAAGGTCCCACTGCTATATGTCGTCACGCAAAAAGAAAGCAACGGCAATCACGGCGTACCTATACCAAGTTATTAATTGTCGACTCACGTCAATACAAAATTCAGGAGAGAGTGCTTACCATGCCACCAATAGCAGGCCATGCATATAAGTGTATTTTCCATTCTGAAGCAAATGGTTGACTAACAGGATAGCCAAAAACAGTATAATAGTCTGGAACGTCTCGAAGTTCAAGGTCATAGGTTGGTGGACGACCCAACCCAGAATCACTAGAGCGGGAATAACAAACAACGCGATTTGCAAGATGCTACCGACGATTACCCCGACGGCGAAGTCGATTCTGCCGCTCCGGGATGCTCCTACTACGGCAGCACATTCCGGAGCATTGCTTGCGATGGGGATGAGGATGGTGGCGATGAAGGTTCTGCTGATGTGCGTGGCTTCGGATGTTGTGTTGATGCTGTCGAGGAGGAAGTGTGAGCAGAACATGATGCCAGCGGCAGAACAGATGAGGGCAGCGAAAGTGGTAAGAAGACTGTTTATTGAGGGCGCGTCCTGCTGCGCGTCCAGCTCCGTGTCCAGCTCCGTGTCCTGTTGTGTGTCCTGCTCTGTTTCTGGTCGTGTGTCCTGCCGTGTGTCTAGCCAAGTTCCCGGTCGAGTTACCGGTGTAGACACGCCACTGTCGCTTCCGCCCTGCTCTCTGTCCCGCCGTGTGTCTAGCCAAGTTCCCCGTCGAGTTACCGGCGTTGTAGGCGCGCTACTGTCGCCTCCGCCATTATGCGCAGCGCTTTCGTCTGGCTTGCCTTCGAAGAGTTCCTTGTGGCTCACGAACTCGAAATAAAGGTACGCAATGTAGAGCACAAGTAGAACGACAGCGGTACCACGAGAGAAGCCTAAAATCTGCTTGTCGATGTCGTCTGGTTTCGAGGTCTCAAATGTAGAGTATAACGCCGTCGGAAGGACGAGAGCCGTGGCTGTAATGATCATCAATGAAGACAAGGTGCCAGACACAGCTCTATTGAGCTCAAGGATAGGTGTTCGCCACGCAGAGGAGAAAAAGCAGCTGCCAAGAACCTAAAACTCTGGTAAACACCCGATTGGAGGAGGATGGATGGGGACTAACGAAAATAATATCCGATAGAATGCTTCCTAGCATGATAGACTGGGCGAAGGCTGTATCTCCATGGACGACGGCCAGAATACCGACCTAAATAAATCACGATCAGCCCCAGGAACACCCGGGGAGGAAGTGTAACAGTACAATCAATTCCACGGCGTTCCCAAAGGTCGCATTAATCAATGCCCCTAGCAAGTCTCCAAATGCATCTGAGAGCTTGTCTGATGCGTCCGACACTGCTGCCGAGAGAGGGATGATGGCCAAAAAGTTGAAGATGGAAGTCGATATTGAGTTCCAGTGGAGGACTTGGGAGGTGAGGCCAAGCGGCGCGAAGATCCAAAGAACCTTTATGTTGATGAGCTGTGGGGCCGTCCTCATTGCTGCATGATAAACGCACAATAGATGTTGGGACCAGACCAGCCTCCTAGTGCTGTTACTTGGGGGGCGTGAGGGCTCGCTGTCGATGGGGTTCAGTAAAGGTACTGCCTCGTCTTCGTCCGCCGGTCGACTTCGTCCGTTGGCATTCATCATGATTGCACAACTTGGGCGTGGGTGTCTTGTTGAAATTGGTCGCAGCTCGTCGCGCTAAGGACAGAGTGTGTGGTTGTAATGCTCATGGATTGCGAATCGAGGGGGTGAAGTTAACTTTGGGGTTCAACAAACTCCAGCCTCTTGAAGGTGCGGATGATGTGGTTTGTGTGGAAAATTGTTGTTCCAGGCTGAGTGACATCCTGGGGCGTTTCGAATGGACCTCCCGCTCATCCTAGCCTCCACAGCGATACTCGAACTCAAGGCGTATAACTATATACATCAAACTTGCAGTCCAGATGTGGACGGCACGATCAAAGCTACTCAATGAAGACGAGCTTAAATTAAGCCAAACCTGTCCCTTCAACTACAGCAACTTTGTCCACAGTCTCAAACACCCTCAACCTTCACCAACCTCTTACCATCCAGCCCTCCCATTTCCAAATTCAAACTGAGTTGCACCGCGACTCGAAAATATCTTTACCTTGGTCGGGAGCCCATACATTAACGAGAGAAACATGAACAGGAGTTTCAGAGACTGCAACAGCTCCAAAAGACAGTACGGTAACAAGGATACATAATGCCATTTATCAATTTCAAAGGCCAATCCCAGATCTCCACGTAATTCCTCCAATGTAATAACTATATTGGAAATCAGCCCCTTAACCACACACAGAGGTACCAACCGTCCGGCCTCCTAGCTCCTTGACCATGACTTTCAAGAACTCTCTTTGACATGACTGCCGAGCAGGGAGCGGGTGATGGAAGGATGTTAGCCTCTGACGTGATCCTCCAGGGATCAAGTCAGAGACACTGACCATGCCGGTGTGCTGCGTGGCTCAAGAAGTGCGTGTTGCAGCTCAAGAAAGTCTGAACATCCTTCATAGGGACATATATCGATTCGGGTTCACCGAAAAGGATCTCTCAGCCCGGCCGGCGGGGATTAACAAAAGCCCGAAAGAGCGTTTAATAAAGCTGTGCCGGTGGTGTCAAAACAAATGGCGCAGCTTTTGTGGCAAACTCCCAGAACTGCTCTTGGCTCTGCCTTCTGTCGTCCAGCTCATTCAGTTAAGACAGTCCGCGGTAAAGGTACGAAGCTCCCAGAACCAATATCTTGCTGGCTCTCTGCGCCGAGATATTTCACCCGCAAGCACAATCGGAAAATTGAACGATTTGGCAGCGCTCCCCATGCACTTCGCAGGTCAGCAAGTAATGGGTTGGTGTATATCTGTACGACTTCAACGCCTTCTTAGGTCTTTATGAACGAGTCCCCACCTACCACGACCTGGCATTGTCCGTGACTGGACATCCCCGGCAATCCAAGCTTTGTTGAAGACTGCACAAGCTGCAATGTCCTGAAGTTCCGTACCTTCTACGCCATCAGACTCAGGAACTCCTTAACTTCTCGAACCACGTCCGACTCCACTTTCCTTCCTAACAGCTAGATCAAATCACCCGCACAACAATCTATGTTCCAGAGATCACCTAGCGATTCATCCAACTCACGACGCCCCACCGACTCCCTCCAATCTCTCAATGGCGTTATCGATTGGGCTGCAGATCAGAAGAGGCATTCACAACATTCAGCAACGTCAGCCTCGACAAGCAAACAGGAAGAGCGAGGGTCCGTCAGGAAGAAACATCATAGCCATAAGAATATATACACCGAGTGTGGAAGGCATGGTGATGATTGGTTATTGGGAGGGTTTTCTGTGACCGAGACGGTGAAACGGATGTTGGGGAAGAAGCGATTAGACTGGCGGACTGAGACAGGTTGAGAAGAATTCACTTTTGTCTTTCCTATTTTAGAAACACGTATCGGCCGGGCAGGATCTGTGGTCTCCGGATATAGGGAGGAATACATCCTGAAGCCCTAGAGAGGTTAACATTACAGCAAAGGTGATTTCAGCAAGTGCTTGAACATGGCTTTTATTTGTACATAGACGGCAGAGCATCACGAGATCCCATCCGTTGGTGAGGAGATCATGCTAGTCCTAATGAGAGTTGAAAGCTACATTTGATGGACGCGGGGCGAATTCACTTCTGTGATCTCACATCGGTGCAGGTGAAACAATTGGATGTCGACTTTGTATAATTGTTTCTTGGATCTCAATGTCTTAATTCTCGAGGTTAGGCCTCCGCCGCGAGCTAGAGAACCTGATGGAGTCGTCATCCCTAGTTGTGCCATGTTCGAGAGGCGACCATCCAGCAATGCTCCCAGCTATGACTCCGGCCATCGCAGCAGCAGATCCGAGGGCGGAGTTTGATCTGGAGCGCATCAAACTATAATCGGGAGGCCCTGCATCTCCGTTTGCCTGACTGTTTGGCGTCCTAGGGATCGAATCTCGATTGGAGCTTAGCAAGAGCTCCCGCGGACGTTGCAATTTGAACATGAGGGCTTGAAGTCGCCCACCACGGATCTTTCTGAAGAAAGTGAGCTGTTCACGGATATTCTTCAGGGAATCGTTCCATTCGCTCCGCGGCGTCGAGCTTTGGTCGCTTGCACTGGGAATAAACTTTCCGATAAAATCGTCAGGAATGAGGCGGATAAGCACTGCTACAGGAAGAGAGATCGCTCCAAGGATAAGGGATATGCCCCATTGTGCCCAACTGAGTCGAATAGTGGACAAGGCACTGGAGCCAACACATATAATGAGCACTTGTCCGCTGATCGTGATGAGGTTGATGCCAATGAAGAACCAGTTTCGGCGAATACCTTCGAAGACATTGAACTTATTATCGAGACGGCGATTGCTAGTTAGATATCAGCCCGAGTATCTCTAAAAAGTTTTAATACGCCGACTAACTTGAGCTGGTTAAAAAGCTGCATCCAGACATAAATGTTAAAAATCAAAGTCTCCAGCCGGCTCTTCTCATACTCGGTCTTGTAACCCAGTATCTCATTACCAGCAAAATTGAGGGCTAGAACCACAATCAACTGATATATAGATTGTCCGATAATCATCTTCCACATGTTCAATGTGATTAAACGTGCCGATTTCAGGTCCGGTTTTCTATCAAGAATGCTTCGAGGCGGTGGGTCCGTAGCTAGAGCAAGAGCAGCAAATGTGTCCATAATAAGGTTAACCCAGAGCAATTGAACAGGGGTTAGGATTGGTTCTTCGTTAGGGCTGGCTATTGCAGACACAAACGTGACACTGACTGCAGTAATGTTGACAGTAAGTTGGAACTAGATCAAAGCCCCGAGTCAGCGAACGGCATAAAGTGTCTAGCAAAAGGAAAGCCAACCTGTAAGAACTTCCTAACTGCATCGTTAACCGCTCTGCCCCATTCTAAAGCCTTGACGATAGACGAGAAGTTATCGTCCATAAGGATAATTGATGAAGCTTCCTTTGCTACCTCGGTACCAGAAATGCCCATCGAGAAACCAATATCAGCTGCCCTCAGAGCCGGTCCGTCATTCGTCCCATCACCAGTGACGGCCACAGTCTCACCCAGCTCCTTTAACCTCTTCACAAGGATTCTCTTGTCTTCAGGACTGGATCGAGCAAGCACTTGCAACTGTGGGATAATCCGATCCATCTGAGTGTTGGACAGCTTTCGAAATTCGGGTCCTTCCAGAACGATTCCGCCTTGAGTGTAGATCCCGCATTCCTCAGCAACAGCTTTTGCTGTCCCCATATTGTCACCTGTGACCATCCTCACAAACACACCTGCGTGCTGACACTGTCCAACTGCCTCTTTGACACCTGGCCTGAGGGGATCCTGGATACCGACAATAGCAAGAAACACCATTTCATCGAGTATATCTTCAAACACTGCTTCCCTCGGATCATCTTCAAGCGTCTTGGCTCCGGGCGGAGGCCAAGTTCTGAAATCACGGTAGACGACGCCGATCGTTCGCAGCGATTTGGCAGCATAGTTGTTAATGGCATTGGTCAATGAGATGCGGATATCCATCGTCAATTCGACGCTCTTCGTAAGCTTCGTCACATCTGCAACAATTCGTGTGCAGTTGCCCAGCAAAATCTCCGAAGCCCCTTTCACATACATCCGGTAGGTGTTGTCGTGTAATCTGACCACGGATGCCATACACTTTCTGCCAGAATCGAAAGGGAATATCTGAACAATATTGGCGTTTGCGCGTTCTTCATTGACCGGCCCCATACCCAAATGCGCCTTGGCGAATGAGAGTAACGCTGTTTCGGTCTTGGAGCCGATAAAAGTACGATGACCGCCCTCTTCGCCCTCAAACGCCGTAGAGTTTACAGCGACAGATTGTGAGAGGAGATCTTTGACCTCTGCAGAGAGCAATAAAGCGAGTTCGCTGAGTGAGACGGCCACCGAGTCACCAGAAGCAGCTTGCTCGCTATTTTCTTGGTCTTGATTAATTGGCCCTTCCTGAATCCCAAACTGACAAGCAGTGCCTAAACACCCCGCTACCACAGTCATCTTGTTCATTGTGAGTGTCCCAGTCTTGTCGGAGCAGATAGCCGTTGCATTGCCCATTGTTTCGCACGAGCTCAGCACCCGCACCAGATTGTGGTCCTTTAACATTCTCGTCATTGCGAAAGCCAAAGCGAGTGTGACTGCAAGTGGAAGCCCTTCTGGAACTGCAATAACAATTATCGTAATGGCCACGATCACAATTTGCAAGAAGTCCTGCGCCTTTTGAGCTGGCGCATCTTGGCCTCTCGTCAGCTGCGCGAGGAATTTGATGAAGAGTACGATGAAGAGGAGGAGAGCGACGGCACAGCCAAATTTGGCAATCTGCTCGGCCATAATATTCAACTTGATCTGCAGCGGCGTCGGAGTCGCTTCAGCATCATCCGTCATGGCCACGATCAATTTTCCGTAGCTGCTGTGCACGCCAACACCGGTAACCAAATACGCGCCAGTCCCTTCCAATACCTTACTTCCTGAGATAATAAATGGATCAAGCTTATTAACGCTTGCTCCCGCTTCGATTCGAGCCATTACCTCGTCGCCTGAGGTCTTCTTCTTCTGATCAGATTCGCCGGTGACAGATGACTCGTCGCAGCGGACATTGTGACCGGAAATGAACACGCCATCTGCGGGGACGAGATCACCGGGTTCCAAGTATAACACATCTCCGGCAAGGACATCGTAGATTGAGATTTGCATTGACTTTCCTGACCGAATGGCCTTCACGATGCGATCATGTTTCTATCGCGATTGTCAGCTCCTTTTCAGGATACATGCAAAAATTACTTGCCTTTTGATTGAGCTTGACAAATTGTCGCTCTTTCTGGTAATCATTCACAGATCCAACAACTACGACGATGGCGACGGCGACCATGATTGTCACTCCCTCCACCCACCTAACCTTGGGTCCACCGTACTTGCCTGACTGTCCAAAGTCCTGGTACAGACCCAAGCCCAGGGAGATGGCAGCGACGACAGTGAGAATAATCAGCACCTTGTCGTTGAAGGTTATCCACATGATTTGCAAGAGATTCTTGCTCTTCTTCTCTGGGAGACGACTGATGCCAAAGACGCGCTTTCTATCCACATACCGCTCAGAGCTTGCATGGCGTATTGATGAGGACGTCGTGGATCGCACAAGGCCACGAGGAGATAGCTTTCCTTTGCGGGGAAAGGCTGAACTTGTAGTCGCAGTAACTTCATCGAACCCTACAGTTCCGTCCAAGGCTGTCTCATCTAGGCTCAATCCGCTGGAGCGGTGTGTTCGCAGGCCGAGCACAAGACCCTGCAATCCTCCTAAAGCACAGAAAGCTGCGAGGCTCTGAGGACTGAACAATTTGGAAAGCTGGCCCGGTGAGAAGGCGAACGGGTTATCCTCGACGTGAAATTTGTGTTCCTCCCCGGGATCGGCTTTTAACGGATCATCATGTCCTAGCCTATTAACGGATATGGCCTCACTTGATTCACCTTGAGAGCCCTCATAATCTGATACAGTAGGCGTTGGGAATAGAGTCTCTCCACCATACGATGATAGGGAGTGGTGATCGAGCGAGCTACCCCTCGAGCGCGTGCCTGGAATAGCAAGGAGATTATGCGGATCTGGTGACTTGTCGTTTCCTCTGGGAGTAGGTTGCAAGGTATTGTAAGGTGAGGCAAGTCTTGACTCAAATAACAGCAACGGCCTGTTCTCGGTGGTTGAGGATCGCTGACGCTGGGCGGGAGATGGGGGGTTCGAAGGCGACGATGATTCTCGGGAAGGGGCGGTAACATTCTGGGGAAAATTGACAGCGGAAGTATCAATTGTAATCGTCGGAGCCCGCTGTCTCGAGGATGGGCTCGTACGAGGTGTTGACTCTTTGAGATCTGAACCATCCTTTGAGCCTTCCATCCTTACGAGGGTTGAGATTCGAGGACCAAGACTGATCTGTGATAGCTCGAGCGTCGCAGAAACACTTCGTAGTACAGTGCGAGGGCATAGATCGGCGGCCACTCTACTCAAGCTCGTTTCAAAGTTGTAGCTGTAAGCACCCCGAACGGTGCCGCATCGAAGAGAAGCTGCAGCTGAAGCAAGCAGTTCGGACAGTGGAAGAAAGCAAGACAATATTGTCTTATTGAAGCTGTTGGGGATGCGTATTTGAAGAGGAGGTTGAGTCTGCCTTTCTCAACACACGTCTGCCACGGCTTCGACACTGCCGATAAGAATGTTCAGACAGTTTCCGTCAATATCGACATCTTGCTTCTCTAGCCAACAGTACTTAAGAGAAAGAATCATGCAAATGAAGTTGAATTGTCACTGCGCCGGTTCGGGTTAGCGAAGGGGGCTGTGCAATAACGCAAGACGATTCGGAAAAAGCGAATACATATGAGAGGCTAACAATAGGAAACGATGGTGGATTGATTTTGCCGGGAGAAAGAGAATTAAAAAATATACCTCTAGGCTAATATTGCATTGAATTAACCCACCAGAGTGACAATTGTCATCATTACCTCCATGGGTTGCCAAGTGACCGGCACGAGCCGAATGGGATTAATCGTTCGGCGCTTCCCACCTAGTCTCGCTTAGTGACACTCACTAGATGAGGGCCACCAATACGCAAATCTGAGATTTTGGTGGTACTCAACAAAAATTGCCCTTTAAATTCTCACAACGCAACGTATCAAAAAGGTGTTTACGTAGTGGGAATTAATCCCAAGACTAAGATCCTTTTGTCTATTAAATTTAAAGAGCAAAAAATAAAGGCATTACTGTTTTTGAACTTTGCATAGTTTTCTTATACAAATTTATATAAGGCAAATCAGGCAAATTTGCACTATAATAACGGGGTTATTTTTTAGTCTTAAAATTTGCTAAGCTAAAGGGTCTATATATTAGGATTAATTGCATACTAGGAGAGCCGATGGGGGTACGAAAAAGACGAGCTTGAAACGTGCTGCAGCAACCGAAGCCATTTGAAAGGTTGAGGTTACTTAAATACTATTTTAATACGTTGTGTTGTAAGAATTTAAAGGGCGAAAAAGGGAGATTTTTGGTAGGGTGCTCAAAAATCTCAGATTTGCGTATTACTATGCTTTGCGTATTGGTGGCCCTTACCTAGTGAATGTCACTAAGCGAGACTAGGTGGGAAGCGCCGAACGATTACCTTGAGATCAAACATGCTCTAACAAAATCCTCCCGCAGAGCCTCTCCAAGAGGGCAAGTCCAGGTCGCCGCAGAGAACAAAAGACCATTCCTTCTTGAATATAGGGATGCCAAAGGTAAGCCGCTGAAGCGAAGTACACATTAAGCGTTCTAGCTAATCCAGATACAACCAAAGTCATACCTATTTTTAGATAACGTCCCATTGATAATGCGAACCCGCCCTCTCAACTCTGACATCTTCCCACTCCCGCCCACCAGCCATCGTTCGGGTTATACATTGTTTTCGAGGTTCAGGTCGTCCATTCCTCTTCCCGAATCCCCATGTTATCAATACCTCTCAAATGCAGCATCAGACTCGTCGGATGACCGAAATCCCAGAATCGTTTTGCCAGCCTCAATCCGATCTTCACAACTAGCAAATACAACACAAACCGAATAATGGACTCGGAAGGCAGCTCATCTGATATATCGACGGAAAGGACGTTGGAAAAGACGGTTCGCGAGGGCGAATCCAGGTTGCCCATGCTCGTGCTGGCATCGGAATGCGTTACTTTTATCAAACGAGGGGCTTGTTACGTTCCAGAGAAGGAATGGAAGCTCAAGAACAGTCTACTCGCCACTGTAGGATTTCTTGAGCTGGGCAATGCTGGAGATTTTGCCGCGAACGTGTGGAACGAGATTCCGGCACCGTCTTACGCCGTTGGCCTGATGGTCATAGGCGGTACTCTCGCCCTCTCGCTCTCCTATTTTGCCTTTCGAGATGCCAAGCTGAGCTGGTCCAATCTGCTTCTTCTTCGACAAGAACGACATGATCTACGAAAGCAGAAACTTCACTCGGTTGAAAATGGGCAAATCGTCTGGGGTCTCGATACGCGTTTGGATGTGAGCTTTCGGGAAATGGGAACAGAATTGATCAGCCGCTTTGGAATGGACATTTTGATGGGATTTGGAGCTGTCATCATCGGCATCGGAACGTTTATGGCAATCGGTGGTGCGAATCATCACGTGTGGTATGCCAGCAATCTTCTCTCCGGATACATCGGGAATGTGCCTCTAGCGCTCTACGCAATCATCAATGCAACGTGGTCTCTCTATATTTGGATGAAAGTCCGTCAACACGGCATTGCTGGAGCAAAGGCGCTACATGGGAACATGGCCGCTGCCCTAAAGCATCGCGTTCGCACCGTCCAACTGTACACTTCGATAAACGGCCTAACCGGCATCGTTGCAGGAGCTGGATCACTCATTACCGCAACTATGTGGTGGGGCTATGTGATCTTGATTCCGGTTATCATATCGTCCATCTCCTGCAACTATATATGGCGACACAAGATAGCCTACGAGCGTCCGTTGCTTCGACGAACGCTCGAAGTGAGCAAGGTGTCCCTGCTCAGAGAATTGGAATTCATTGTTTCTGTTCGACAGACGCTCGAGGAAATACCGTCAGAATCTCTCCGCGCGCTCATCACAGATTCGCAGTCGATCACCTCTGTTATCGAATTCATCGTAGCAAATGATCTTTTCGAGGACTTCTGTGTTCGACTTCTCTGTGATGCACGTCTCTCAGAGCTATGTGGTCTTCCAAATGAAGACTTGACAATTAATTCGCAGAATCTTTTAACCGTCGATGAGGCACACATTCCCCGTGTTCTAGATATCGCGCAGACATGTGTCAACGAGACGGGACGAATGCAATTCCAATATCGAGAGCGCTATCTCCTAGAAGTTCTGGGATGTTATTTGTGCGTCTCACAAGCCGGAAATTTTAAGACAACTTTGGATGTGCAATTAGAAGGGTAACCTTTTATGGGTGGCAGGACCACACTTATGCGCACTCCAGTGTCATCACAAGTCATATAGACAGATTCAATAGGAATTGGATTAAATACTCGTTTCAATCTTACGCAACCATTATCGCAACTACTCATATGCCTGGGCGAAAAGCCGAACTTGTTATCCTCCATCTCGTAATCTGTTTGGGTGCCAGGATCAGGCTTCAAGGCCTCATCATCGTGTATTTTGTCCTCATTGCCAATGGACAACCCTGCCGCTCTATGTATGTTCCCTTGTTCTGGAAGCGTTAGCTTCGGAAGGTATGTATGATTTGCTGCATGGTTATCGTCATCCGAATCGTCCGATTTTTGTCTGGAGGGCATTCCGGGGACAAATTGAAGGTGATGCCCTGTATCATGTCCTCTCGAAGTAGGTGATGGAATATCGTGTAATGAAGTAGGTATATTCTCTCCGCTGGTCGAAAGGCGAGGTTGTTCTGCTATCTCTGGCGACTGTAAAGATATTCGCTTGGGGATGGTCATCGACGATAGTCTGATATAACCATGATGCTGGTGAAAGACGTTTTGTATGCCTAACGACTTGAATAATTCATAGACGGTAGAGGCATGCAGCTATAGGCAATTTGCAACAAGACTTAAGTCTTAAAGACCGCTTCTTAGGAAGACATACAAGTTCTTTATTCTCTAAAGTCACTTTTTATAATATATATTAAATATTTGAACTTTAAAAAGTTTCTCTTAATCTAAATAATCGTGCGGTGACGCTCGCACTATACCAGCCCCCTTGCAGGTTTAGTGCGGAACAGTAATATGGTCGAAAATCAGTAATATGGGGGGTTTTTTTGCTTCTATTCATCGTCTTTAATTGATTAAATATCAACACCATGGCCAAATTCGACCCAGAAGAAGAGAAAAGGATAGCCTAGGCCTTTGATTTCTATGCCAGAAATCCACAAGTCAAAAAGTTTGCGATTGCGCGAAAACCCTGGGTAAAATATCGTCTCTGGAAAGCGCGTTTAGCAGGACGAAAACCACAAAATACCAAGGGGGCTACAACAAACCCCTAATCCTGACTAGGAGGAGGGCCTCAAGCAGTTTATCTTATTTTTGATCTATTTAGGCCACAGAGCTAATCTCAAGATGATGCGGGCGGCAGTTAATAAGATTCTGGGAGAGAGCGCGTCCACTTACCAAATAAACCGCGTCTGGGCACAACAATAGTTCAAACGCAATAAATAATGGTTTAAAACCCATCGCGTGAAGACACTAGTACAAGCTAGACTTTAATATAAACTTAACTTTAGTCTCTAATAAAGTATAGTTTTACTTCCGGCAGAAATATATTATAATATAAACCGGATTTTAGCTTTTCTAAAAATAAAAAAAAAGGAAATTAATATTTGTAAAATAGTTACCTCGTCGCAAGACTTTCAACACTGAGCCAAAGAACTAGTGGGATACACTCCGCGGCAACTAGTCCTGTTGCGTCAAATTCTTTAGATCAGAATCAAAGCAAGGCTACAGCATGTCATCACAAGCAACTGTCGAGCCGAGCGAAGACCACAAAGTGACTGTTACTAGTTGTCGCTGATGCTCTAGCAAAATGGATACAAAAGGAGTGTGCCCCTGCCAATCCCTGCAACATCCCTGTTTTGCTCGCGTAGCATTCTTAAAACATGGGTGTACGCCCAAAGGGGAAATGACAGGAGGCCAACTCTGATTAGAATGCATAAGCACCCTCTCTGGGTAAACCCTAGAACGGGTGCTTATGTAACTGAGAATTAGATCCCCCTCTAGCCCCCTTTTCCCGTATATAGTAAGCTAATTTATATAATTTTATTATAAAGTAAGATTTTCTTTTTCGGCTATTTTTTAGCCTGTAGCATACGTATAAAAGGTGGGCAAGACGCACGTTCCTCTATCCCTTACTTATAATTGCTTAGGAAGTCTATCCTCAAGGATACAAGTATGCTTCTTGTACTTAAGGTATACATATATATACGCTCCTGTGAGGCGCCGAAGGCGCCGAACGCCGTGCCCCTAGTCTCCTAAGCTCCTAGTATTAGTAGAGAATATACTTTAAATATAGGTGTGCTTTGTATACAGATGTGTCCCGTACACAGTTGTGCCCCACACGCCGTTCGGCGCCGAAGGCGCCGAACGGCGTGCCCCTAGCCTATTAAGGTTCTAATATTAGTAGAGAAATAAGCTTTAGAACTCCCAGAACTAGCGCTCTGTCTAGTTCCAATACGAATTTAGAAGCGGCGGGAAGACAACTATCATTATAGGTATACCCCCCAGTGGGGTCGAATACAAGGCTATCCCCTTTGTTTGGGGCGATGTTTCCCCACTACTGGTTGATTTCCTCGGCTGTAGTGAGACTTCACATATTCTAGTCTCAGATGCGTCTAAACTTCGTCGCCTTATGGAACTCGTGGGCCCTGCAAATGCATGGCTTGATATCATGTCCATTAATCAGGACGATAAGCAAGATAAGGTTACCCAGATTGCTGCAGTGGGGGATATCTATAACAAGGCATCTTGTGTCTCCGTATTGCTTCCGACCTCGGATGCCTTGGCACACCATATATTGTGGAGTCTATACCTAGCGGCTACGATTTTGCTGAGACATTACGGCAATGAAAAAAAAACATCTCCGCGCGCCCAAATCGAATTTTTGGAAATAACTCAATAACCACGCCCTGTATAGTATTCCCGACACCTGCAATCGATTCCTTGGGGTCTGTTCCCCTAATAGCACCGATTCCAGCGACGTCGTGGCCCATTATGGGAGTCTGCAACGTGAATCGTCAGATTTACGCGCGTACCCTCCTGCGAGAAGCACGACTCCTCAAAGCCCATTCCAACGGGGCATATAGTAATGGAAAGAAAAGACAGATCCCGAACCTTACTATAGTCTCCTTTATCGATTTAGTTATCTTATATCTCGAAGTACCGGAGGCAAAGAACGACCAGGACTAGCTATAGCAGGCCATCCAGTAAATATAGGCCGATATTAAGGCCTAATATATATAGCAGAGCGTATTTATCTAGAAGCTCCTTAGTAAAAAAGTATAGAATTAATAATAGGAATAACCTCCCTTAATAGTATTATTTTTATAGGCAAAGGTAGTAGTATTAGCTCCGGCTAGTAGTATTTATATATGCTTTATATTACTAATATATACTAGTATATCTCTATTTATTACCCGAGTCTTATAACTTAATAGTATAATAGCCCGGGAGATCCGCCTTATAGTCTATAGTAAGGCTCTTAGAAAGGAGCTCCAAGCCCTCGAAAAGCCTAATAAATATATTCTCTTTAGGGCTAATAATATTATTACTAGAGTTTTCGGGACTTATTACTATACTAGCTATAATAGTAAACTGGATTAATTTAGTCTGACTTATAAATAATAGAAATATATTTCTCTATATATATAATATAAATATAATTAATACTATTATTTATAATAGCAAGAAATAGAAAAGCTTTATAGAAAAGAAAGCCAAAGTTCTAATATTATCCTATAAAGTAGTAATCTCCTCGATTTTAATTAATAGTATTAATATAAATAAGTAAAAGAAAGTTATTAGAAAACTATTTACCGGAAACCCAGTATTTATTAAAAGTCCTAACGAGATTAAAAGAATTATCTGGCTCTCAAAATACAAGTCCGACAAGTATATAAATACTATTATAGTAAACTTTTATAATAGAGAAACCGCTAATAATATTATTAGAACTCGAAAAATTACCTGGAAAAATATTTTTAAGTTAATTTAATAATATAGTAAAAAGGCCTAAATTTACTAATACTTTAATTACTATAGCTTTAACTATATTATATATATATATAGAATAAAGACCCGGTATAAGTAATATATCTCTAAAATATATAATACTAAGAAATATATCTTATTAAATAAAATATATTACTAATATATTAATTATAAAAAAAATTATATAATATTTTCTAAAGATTATAAGAAATATAAAAAGGAAATTAAGCGAGTTAAGGCCGAGAGGAAGTAATTTGAATATAACCTATTATTTCTAATATTATTAGTTTTTATATTATTTATTTCCTTAAAAGAAAACAGATCTAGTAATACCTAAAAAGAAAACTTATAATCTTCTATACTAATATTAGTATTACCTTTTTCTAATATTTTTACGGGCTCGGAAATTATAATAAAAAATAGTATATTTATAAAACCCGAAATATAATTAGTATAAAATATAAATATAAAGTAAATAAATAAAAGTAAAGAAAATAAAAAAAGTAAAGTAAAATCTCCTATTTTTCTAGGATCTTTATTAAAATTCCGGTTTCTTTCCTAAAACTATAAACTTTATTTAAAATATAATAGGATATAAACTTTAATTTTAATATATTAACTATTCTAATTAATAGCCTAAATGCTTCCGGAAATAAGAAGTTTAAACTAGCTATATAAAAACTTTAAAGCTCTTTTTTTAAACCGGTAAATAATAGAAATATTAGTAATAAATATATTATAATTATTAGTAAAAAGAGAAAAAGGGCTCTAAAAAAGAATTATATGAAATTTCTAAATAAAGTTAAATAAATCCGGCTAAATAATTCCGGTCGGCTTAAAGCCTTATTATAAGAAATAAGAAAAAATATATAAAAGAATAAAATAATAGCTATAATAGATCTAATTAGAATAAAATCGGGCCCGGAATTAGCTAGAAAAAGCTTTTTAAAGGTTTTTTCTAATTTGTTTAATAAATTATTTTCTATAAACTTTCTTCTAATCTTATAAATAATATTAAGTATATTAGTACTAAAACACTTATCTAAATACTACTAATAAGTATATACTAATATATAATATTATTTATTTTATAATATAATATTTAGAAGATCTATATAATATAGAACTTACTTTTCCAAAATAAGAAAACCTGAGACTTTAATATTATTATAATTTAAAAGCTATAGCTTAATAACTATAATATTCGACTTATCTATAACTTAGTTAAAAACAAATTCAGAGTATTTCTGGATAATTCAAGTATAAATAAATAGCTAAATATATATTTCCTTATTAATAGTAAAATTAATCTAATTATAATATGAATTATAGACTAGAGCTTATAT